TAATTACCAGAAAGAAAGTCTTCATTTGCTTCCTGGTTATCCTTATTTCAGCATTTTTGTCATGATACACTTCCAGAAGAATATCCATCAAGTCTTTATTCTCCATGTGAGGACCTTCTCTCTTTGCTTTCTCCTCATGCTCTACCAAGACGTTTTCAAACAATTCATCATACCTTTTGGGCACGTCGGCAATTTTCTTTCTTAAGTACCAAGTACCTATCCTTTTCAAGGGACCAAACACGTTAAATAAAGCAAGCTTTGCAGCCAGATCAAAGGATTCACTCACCAGCCCTCTACACTTCTCAGCCTGATTATCTTCCCCTGAACACCTAGCACTCATAATCATCCTGCAAGTACTATTGTTTGCTAGTGTTAATACCTCAGCACTCACATTTGCAACCTCTTTTTTTTGACCTATCTCCAACATTTTACTCAAAAACCTCACAACTTCTTCGCGTCTAACATTCTTTAACTTCTTCATCTGTCTAGTCCCCAACAATTCTGTCGTACAAATTTTCTTCATGAATTTCCAGTAATCCCCATACGGGGCATTGAAAAAGCTTGTTGAGCTTCCAAAGAGTAAATTATCCTCAAAAGGGGATTTTATTCTAGAGGTGAAATGGACATCTAGTGCTCTGAAGATTTCTGTGGCCAGCGGAGCGGATGAAACAAGAACAGCAGGATAAGTGGCCAAGCGGAGATAGAGGAGAGGGCCATATTTATTGTTGAGAGCATGGAATCCTTCGTATGCTACTGGGGTTAATAAATGGAGGTGGCCGATCAAAGGAAGTGTGGGTGGGCTTGGAGGGGGGCAATAACCGGCAGGTTTCTTGCCGGGCCTCTTGAAGATGAATTGAAGGAAGTGTGTGATAAACAAGAGGATAAAGATGGCAAGAACATATTGAATGGCAGTCATAGTGTCCGCTTAGTGAAAGCTGGCTAGAAGGCAAATGGGGAGTAAGTGTTTTGAACTAATTTAGTTCTTATGTATTTATAGCCAACTCTGCCCTTTCCCCAAGCGCTGCGTGGGCAAGGAAGGATGTATAACGAGTTCTCAGGGGAAAAAAAGGTGGATGAATTAGCTTAATTTGTTTTTAAATATTAGATTAAGATCTGATGTATTTTCATAGTTTTATTATTTTCAATTTATCTTTAAAAGTAAAATTATTTTCACAGATGAAATCTAATTAAACAGACGCAAGTCACACGTTAAATTTTAATTATGAAGAAAAATGCCTCCCATAAAAGAAAAATAACTAACGACATAAATAAAATGAAACGAGTTGTGGTGTTAAGTAAAGGTCTCGTTTAGGTTTCTTAGGACTTCTCTCTCGTAACTCTAACAGCCACTTGAAACAAAGACCACAAAATCTGAAAGATCGAACTCTTACTCCTATTTGTTCTTTACATCGTTATTGCTTCGGTTGAGACACCGCGCCTATGAAGACGGCTTAAACCAAACAGAACCATGGAAGAAGATTTTTCAACTGTTAAATTGATCTAGAATTGAATGGTGTTGTTAAACTATTGATTTGTCTATAGATTTTGTAACTAAGGCCTTTGAAAGAATCGAAGATAATGAAACAAGATAAAAATTGTGCTTGAAATTGTTATTATTTTTTAAAGTAATTTTTATTATAAAATATATTAATATTTTTTTAATTTTTTTAAAAATATTTTTATTGTGCACGTATCAAAATAATATAAAAATATTTAAAATATATTAATTTAAAATAAAAAAATTAATTTTTTAAAACACAATATTAAACACTGCCTGAACCAGCAAACAAGTATTCACTTTAAACTTTCAATTATTTTAATTTCAAACCTCAAACAATAATATAATTAATTCAAGAGATGAAGCCGGCAACATTCTTGCTGCCGAACATATGAATATTCTACTCAATAATCGAATGATCATACAAGGTGGACTAAAAAACCTCCGACAGAGATCTATGGTTGGTTTGTTTTGTTTTGTTTCTTGAAATGGTGTTCAAGGAGGTAAAAAAAGTTAGTTATGTGCTAAAAGTAAAGGGAGACCTAGTCAATGGGTCGTTACTTAATTTTTTTTAGATTAATATGGGTGTTCGGGTCAGTTTGCGCGTACCACGACTAATAAGTTTCCAATGGTCATCATATAAGTAATCAAGGACTCGAATCTGAGACCATAGAGAAAACAAAACTTTTAATCCCAATTATTTATTACTTGACCACTGCCTAGATGGTTATTAATCTATTTAATTATATTACAGAAGCTTCAAAGGTTGAATTAGTTAGTTCCTCTTGTTCTGTACGGAGATCATTAAAGTTGCAAAGAAAGAAAGAAAAATCTATTTAATATAAAATAATTAAATTCGAAGCTCAAAACCAATAGAAAGTTGTTAACCTATACATCGGGACTAATCTAATTACTGTTTAGAGATATTTAACAAATCCAACAATTAATATTGCTTTTGGAGTGGGAAAAAAAAAAAATTCCAATTTACCGTACATATGATAGGGGGGTTTTACCGTACATATAATAGAAGGTTCTGATATTAATTATATGAGAGTATAGTTTTTCTTTTTTCAAAACTCAATGACAAAAGTATCCCAGGTCTGTCGAAACTAATTTCTTCTTTATGTGATTTTCAAGTAATTAGGTTCTTAGCATGTGCTCCGTAGATGTATTATTCAACTATTAAATAATAATGTTTTTTTAAATAATTTATATATTTTTAATTATTTATAGATAAATATATTTAGCATTTACGAAATTAAAATGTTGGGTTTTTAAAATCTGAATAGTTTTGTGTAAATTTTGATAATTTATAATTAATTGATAAATCTTGATTGCATTGAAATAAAAATAATAAACATAAAATAATTAATAATTGATATAAATAGTTCTATTATTATCGATTGGTAAAGAACTGGCTATAAATATTTTTGGCCAACATGTAGTTTTTCACAATTACTATCATCATTGTAGAGTTTGTGATTTTTTTTTTGCATTTGAAAAAATCTTATTTTCTAGAAAATATATTTTATAGGGTCAGATAAGTAAGTAAAACCCAACTATCTTAAATTTTTATAAAAAATACATATTTTGACTCGAACTCAAGATGTATTATATAAATTTTAAATTTTTTATTATCACATTACTTCTCTTGAAAACTTTATAAATACACAAGAGTTAATCACACTACATAATAGTTAATCACAAAAGCCCCACCATCAATTATTATTGTGATGACTTCCAATTTTCTTGTATTTTATGGCTTATTAGGAGAAAAGAGATTATTGTATATACTCAGTGCGTGATTTTTTTTTCCTAATGCAATGTTTATGTTACATTCCATCAAATATAATTTCAAGAGATGAGTGTGATCATTAAGAAGGTTTGTTCTATTTTTTTTTTTACACTTTCTGGATTTAAAATTATTAAATTGCTTAATTTGAATATATAAAATTAATTAATATGAATTTTCAATTCAATATGCTGATGGCAAGCATACTTTGTTAGTCGTATATAGTGCATATAATTAATTAATTCTTTAAGTCGGCCAAAATTTATAGTCAGGATACTTTTTATTTTTTTCTTGAGGGCATCATCGAAGTTGTTATTAACAATCTTAATAGGTTGTCCTGGTAGTGTAGAGATTTGTCTTCGTCTTTAACTCTCTGAATTCAGAATTGGTAACAGTATGTCCAAGACTTTATTATTCTTTAAATAGGTCCACAAAACTAAACTGAAAAAAACTTTTATCAACCCTAATATTTTTTTTCTCTAACACAATGAGCGGTCAAAACCATCTCAATGGAACTTATATGGTTGAATAAAAATGGTTGATATCAAGATTATTCTTTTCTTGCGCGCATATATATATATATATGTGTGTGTGTATTAATTATCATAATTTATCTCAAAAACATGTATTATGTTATAAAAAGACCAAGTAAAAGAACGGAGCATGTTAATAAGATAAAAGATATTTAATTTGAAAAATATAGTTCATATATATTACTCTTATTTTAAATCAATCAAATTTATTTTGTATTTTTCCTGTTGTTTTTATTTTTATTAAAAGAAGAGCATAGAACAAAAGAGTTGCATTTCTTCATTGAAAAGAAAAAAGGAAATGAGATATTTTGTTTTAATAAAATTTTAATTATTATTCTTTTTACAAAAAAAAAATCAATATATTTTATATAATTAAATAAAAATATTTTAAAGAGCTCCATTCCACACAAGATTATATATTTTAATTTATATTATTATTTTTAGTTTCTTGACTTCATCGTTAGTTATCATCAGTAAAAAAAAAAAATATTTATTGATAAATTTAATTCCTGATTTATTTTATTAGATGGTTGACTATTATCAAACTAGAAAATAATATCGAATATTTGGATTTAAAATATAAGTTATGATAGTTTGTACTGTAAAAAAAGTGTAGAGAAAAACGTAATAATCATAGGAATTGTTAATGGGAGACTAGAAGTGGAGCAGTGTAGAGATAACGAGTCCGCATGTATGAATGACCATATCTCTCTTAAAAAAATCAACAAAACTATTAGATATTTCATTACTTTTGGTACAATGAGACTTCGAAGTCAAAAAATCATCTCGCGCACGTTTCTATATATATATATATATATATAAAAGTAATTAGTGAGCAGGGCTAGTGGGTGCATAATTTTTATTTTTAATTAATGTGTATGTTCGAGCTAAAAAAGCAGATGACGTGTCAAGATTACTTGGGTCAACACGTGTAGGAGTCAGCCGCGTGGAATCGTTGCCGGCAAGGCTAAAGAAAGTGTTCGCTTGGGTCAACTCTAGTAAATTACTAGTTAAGAAAAAAGGATGATATTTTAATCATTTAGTCAAGGCTGTGCCGATATTCATTCTTGAAAAAACCTCACCCTCATGGCATCTCATGCAGGGGCGTTCTACAGCAGACATATGTAAAAGCCAGCCAAGGGATCTGTTTGTGACTAATGACAGAGGGAAGAAAAATTCTGAAGCTGCTCGCTTACGTTTGGCTTCTTTTGGCAGCGCTTTTCAACCCGCAGATATTAATGACTTCTTGTTGTGGTCGTCGCGGTGGCCGTCGTAAATAGTCAAATATAATGTTCTCATATCTATATACCGAAGGCAACGTCTTTATCAATTTCAACTAAGGAGAAAAAACAAAGTAAATATTATACCGACGAATAAATTTTTCGAATATCAGTTACTCTTTTTATCCTGCAATACCAATAATTTAATATTCTCAAAACTTATATTTTGATATTTATGATGAGTTTATATATACAACGTTTTAGGTAATTATTTTCGAATCAATTCCAACCAACCTTCGTATACCAAAACTGATTAAATCTTTTCAATTTAATTTTAATTAATTGATGTGTTATAAAAAAAAATATTCTTCGTACGATATCCCCTTGGTGAGGTCGTGCATTTATTAATGAAGCTAAATCTTTATATGTTTGTTAATGTAATGGTTCATTGCATTCACTTGTTTTGCTCTGTGATTCTTTTAAAAAGGAAAAATTACTCTAGCTAAAATGTGTAAAATATATTAAATTATATGATGATTTAGCATGTAAATTGTTAAGTGTATGACAAAGTTTAAAATGTAAATTATAATTTTTAAAAACAAAAAAGGTAAATATAATATATAATGACTGAACTATAGAATGATTTAGATAATTTTTTCTTTTTAAAATTATAATGTAAAGGACCATTTAAATTGTAATGACTCGTTACATTATATATATATATATATAGGAAGCGACGTGATGAGCCATTATATGATTAAGAGCAATCATGCATGGATCTAATTGTATTTTTTATATTAAAAAGACTAAATTATAGTTTTAAATTTCTTTTCAAAAAACGTCTGAGCAATAAACTAATTTAATTTATTTTCAAGAAAAATTAATTAAAACAATGCTGGTTTAACATTTTTTTTATAAAAAATATTAGCATCAACATATTTTTTTTATTGAGAAAAGTTTAATAACGATAGTTTTTTTTTTCTCTAAACATTTCTGAAAAATAAGATTGGATGCGGTTTGGATTCCTTTCATTTTGTTGATTTTTGATTGTATAGAGTTATTAGGTGATTTGAAGAGACTTTTAAGGAGTTTTTTTTTTAAAAAAATATCTTGAAAAATAAAATTTTAGGTAAGGAAAAACCTTACCCCTGGTTTTTTCAGCCATCAGGTAGCTGAAATCTGAGCCGTCGCTTTCATGTGAAGATCATGAAAGTGCACATGTAATCTATTCTGGAAAGCACAAAAACTAAACAAGGACTGGAAGTTTTTTATAAGAAGATCAGGATCATAGATGGCTCTCCCTTACACGAGGAATGCTTTTCTGGATTCGAATATCTTTCTCAACTTCAGCTCCTGCAAGAAGTTCCAGCATGAACATTATGAGCAGATAAGTGGAACTCTGAATAGCACAAAATCCAAAACATCTAACCAGTTGCTATGTGTAATAAAAACTGCTTTGAGGGGTCCAACCCAATGATGCTGTAGCGTCTTGGTTTCTTGATTTTGTCTTTTCCACCTCAAGATCCTGATTCCGTAGGTTCACTGACAGGAGCAGAGCAAAGCATTGTCACCACCACTGCATCATTGTGCCTTTGAGCGGCTGCAAGTGCACCGGGAGGGACAACAGAAACAAGATCACCACTCGCCTGTAAATAATCCAAGGCTTAGAACTAAAAAGCTAGAAAGGGTTTGAATGCTGACCAAAATGTCATTTGCAGTCAAGTGATGAGCAATGGCCTGAAGAGCACCAGCAATTCCAACATCCTCAGGAACTGCGGCAACGTGCGGCATTATATAGCACCTACAAATTCTACTTTTATTGATTAAAAAAATGAATGGCAAAAACTAGAGTACCATGCAGTTAGTATATAACAATCCTGAAATATAACAGTGCTAGCAGCGGACATTGATGCTCACGAAATGCAATATGTTGCAGAGCACGTGATGGCAGCTTCCATTTGTAGAATAGCAGAAAAAAGAAATGACGTATTTCGGAGAATAAATACCAACTGTATTTAATAAACGGTATCTTTTGGGCAAAGGAATATATATGGCCTCTAGCAGGAAGCTAAAAACTAAGAAAACAGCAAGTTCCTAACTGATTTGGCGACCACTGTGTTTGCTTTCAGTTTAACAAAGAATATTCAAAGTAGCGCACCATTCTTTCCATCTCAATTGACATGTTCTTGTAGGCTTACAAGCAAGTGGTAAGCATTTCGTAAAAATTCAACAGCCTATCTCTACTATTTTATGGCTTTATATACACCCGCATCAATCTTTCACCAGTAGGAAGTCATGCAATAAAAGATGGTATCCTAAATAATCACACGTCCCATTAGTGAAAGTGATTAGGGATTCATAATTACTGCTCCTGTCAGGGCATAGCATTCAAACCTAGGTTTTGACCCATGCTATAGAATTTTGAATGCGATGTGTTTCTCAAAACCAAGTCAACAGATTTTATGAGAGCAGATATCAACTAAACGTTTTTTCCCATTTTGTTGCCGCAACACTTACGAGCACATAAAAGACAAAAGGTGTGGCTATCATAACTACTATTGTAGTGGTCTGTACGAATCAATTCTTATGTTTGGAATTTTTATTTAGAATTTAAATGTATATATTTTTTTAAATATGTATGAAAACAAATAATTGGAGAAACCCTCTAATTTGCTACAATGTTTTACACATTAAAAATAAAACCTCCAATGTCTCTTTCCTTCTCTTCTTCTAACCCCACCATATCTATTCTCTAATATCTTCATGTCATTCCTAAGTCTTGTGATCATTAATTGTGTTCTTCCTATGTAATATGCCTTCCAACCCTGCTGTCCTCCATTATCATGGGAAAAAAATTTGTTGGAGAATAAATCAGACAGAAATATGGTGTGGAAAAGGCAAACAAAGAAAACATAGTTGAAAAATGTTGCTGATGTGAGTCCAAAATCCCTTAGACCCTGCCATATTATTTGATTGAAGAACACTGATCAGCTCAGCATCCTTCTCTTCACCCTCTTTCTTGAGATTGCAGATGTCTTGGTCTATTGCATGAGTGTTCATCTGTTATAGAGGCACCAGCATGAGGTCACTGAAACGCTAACTTATTCACGATGAAGAGATCATAATCAGCGTTATTCCAATTTATTTAACAGCATCCAATTCTAAGAATTAATAACTAGGGACTTGACTCAATTTCCCAGAAACACGATGCATGTATCGCTCGATAGCTAATACATATGTAATTACCACATGAAATATAAATCATCCTCCAAAATAGCACCCTATACTAATACTAAGCAATCAGAACTAATTATTTGCCATTAGCTAATTCAAATTAACAAATGATCATACATGTTCGTCTTTGCATTGTAGAAAACCATAATTGGTATTCACAAGATTTAAGTTGTCAAAAACCAATTTCAGGGAATTTCAACAGTAAACTATTTCTAAATTCATGGGACCCTCCATCAAGTTAAGGCTTCATTTTCTTTATAGAAATTATATATGTTCTTCTTAGTGGCGTTGGGTAGCGAAATATATAGCAACAAACTTATTTATACAATAATTGTCAAGAATTTATTTTATGTGGTGATTTTTTTTTGAATTATTAAAACTAAGAATTGTGGTATCTTTATGAATTATTAACACTATCAAAATTATATTAGTCATTGAATTGTTTATTTGGTAAAGTGATTTGCATTGGTATAATATTTATTTTATTTAAGTTTGATTTAAGTAAAATGTTAGAATTTTTATTAGAACCTTTCTCTATTTTTTTCTCAATATTCCAATGAAAATATTAATTTGATTGAATCTTTTTTAACAAATACATATTTTTTGAATTTTAATAAAGAATTAATATTAGATAAGTATATTTATATATATTTTTTAAAATATCTATATTTTATGTCATTTTAAATAAATATAAGGTATTTTATAACAAAAAATGATTTATGAATTACGAGTAAAATAGTTAACATTGAAAATTCAATTCATTTCTACAAGTATTCCAAATAATATAATTTTCTTTCTTAAGTACCAAGTACCTATCCTTTTCAAGGGACCAAACACGTTAAATAAAGCAAGCTTTGCAGCCAGATCAAAGGATTCACTCACCAACCCTCTACACTTCTCAGCCTGATTATCTTCCCCTGAACACCTAGCACTCATAATCATCCTGCAAGTACTATTGTTTGCTAGTGTTAATACCTCAGCACTCACATTTGCAACCTCATTTTTTTGACCTATCTCCAACATTTTACTCAAAAACCTCACAACTTCTTCGCGTCTTACATTCTTTAACTTCTTCATCTGACTGGTCCCCAACAACTCTTTCGTACAAATTTTCTTCATGAATTTCCAGTAATCCCCATACGGGGCATTGAAAAAGCTTGTTGAGCTTCCAAATAGTAAACTATCCCCAAAAGGGGATTTTATTCTAGAGGTAAAATGGACATCTAGTGCTTTGAAGATTTCCGTGGCTAGTGGAGCGGATGAGACAAGAACAGCAGGATATGTGGCCAAACGGAGATAGAGGAGAGGGCCATATTTATTGTTGAGAGCATGGAATCCTTTGTATGCTACTGGGGTCAATAAATGGAGGTGGCCGATCAAAGGAAGTGTGGGTGGGGTTGGAGGGGGGCAATAACCGGCAGGTTTCTTGCCGGGCCTCTTGAAGATGAATTGAAGAAAGACTGTGATAACCCATAGTACAAAGATGGCAAGGACATATTGGATGGCGATCATGGTGGCCGCTTAGAGAAATCTAGCTGACATGCAATTGTTGAATATGTGTTTTGAACTATGTTCTTATGTATTTATAGCCAACTCTGCCCTTTACCCAAGCGTTGCATGCGTGGGCAAGGAAGGATGAATAACGAGTTCTTAGGAAAATAAAAAAGATGAATTAGCTTATTTTTTTAAAAAAATTTTATGAAGAAAAAATATCTCCCATAAAAGAAAAATAACTAACGACATAAATACATTGAAAGATCGAACTCTTATTCCTATCTGTTCTTTATGTCGTTATTGCTTTTTTGCAGAGACACCACGCCTAGGAAGACTGCTTGAACCAAACAGCCATGGAAGGTTTTTCAACTGTCAAATTGATCTAGAATTGAATAGTGAATGCATATGATGTTAAACTATTGATTTGACTATATTTTGTGTCAAATTAAGTTCTTCCAAAGAACCGAAGATAGTGAAGCCTGTACCATGATAAAAAATGTAAGCAAAGTACACAAAAATTCTAAACTCGGAGAAGACAACAGATGATCACTGTGGTTTTCTTCTTTTCCTTGTTATCTTTTAAGATTAATATTTTTTCTAAAAAACTATTTTTAATTAAAAAAGAATGCATTAAATTGATGCATAGTTTAGAAAAAGAACTAATAAACCCTTATACCAAAAAAAAAAAACACATCTATTGAAATTTTAAGTGATGGTTTTGGAGAAGAGTATTTAATTATGATTATTTTCTTAAGTTAACCAGGAAAGTTCCTATTCAATCAAATAGGATAATTTGCACAATGAGCTAGCTAGTCAATGCACTTCAAACAATGCAGTCTTTGAATAATAAATAATGTGATTGCCTGAAATATATGCTATATTATAATAATATTTTTTTTTAAATTATTTTTAACATCAATTTATCAAAATTATTTAAATATAAAAGATAACAAAAAAATTTCAGACTTTAAAAAAATATAGTTTTAATCACATTTTTAAACAAAAAAAAATCACATTTCTAAACACTCCTATCAACATATAATTTTAATTGAAGAGACTGATATGAAGTGTCATGTCTTTGTAGTGACATGCCTCTCCACTTGTATTTTTTAATTTTCCATATATAAAACATATATGAATCTTTGAAATTCATGCCATCACCGTTGAGAATAATAACTGAAAATATAGCTGAATAACCTGTGATGTTTTAAATTTATTTTTATAAAATAAATAATTTTAATTTTATAAATTTTAAGATTACTGAAAACTTATATAATTGTTAATTTTAGAGCTTATAAGATTAATCAAGGTGTGCATAAACTCATCCAAACAACTACAATAATCTTTAAAAAAATAACAAAAAAAATTAAAAATTGAACTTTTGTTTTTAAATAAAAGAGACAACAAAGAATGAAAATTGACTATTTTTTTAACAAAGAGGAGGGGATCGAATAATTGATAATAAGAAGAAGTTAAACTACGGCTTTTACCTAAATTTAATTTTCAATTTTTCAAGTACAAGATTTTATTGATTTTACCTCAAATGGCTATCAATTAACAGCCTTTAGTAGGATTTTTTTTTTGTTTGGTTGGGATCATTAGCATCTTTTATATTTTTTTATTTAAAATAAAATTTAACGAACAATCTTTCTAATTAATACTTTTTTTTTCACATTTACATCAATTATATTATTATTGCTGCTGCTGCAGCATTCTTTATAAAATTATATATATAATACGAGAAGAAGATTCACATATATATAAATTAGCTTAGCTTCCTATTATACACTAAAATTGATCAAAGATTTATGAACTATGATCAGGAAGAACATGCAAAAGTTAATTACAGACCGGGTTTTATCACTTAAACATGAATGATGAATGAAAGATATAAAAAGTCTACATTGTATAAAAGCCTTAAAACAAGAAATGAAAAGCTAGTTGCCAGAAGTTACATTGAATAAGATAAGAGAATAATTACTGAAAATTATCTTGAATTTTTCTATTTAAATATGAAAACAAGGCAATCGAGAACAAATTGAACAACTCAACAAAACAATAATTATTAGTTAAGTTTTTTGTAAAAAAAATTAGTTATACAAGAAAAAATAGTTTAATTTTTTTTTTTGGTTTGTCTTTTTGGAAAGTGGTTAACAACTTTAATGAATTGACTTATTCCTCAGGATTGCCTTATTCCTTAAATTTTTAGGTTTAGATATATTGATAGAGAATTTATTTAATTTTTCACTGTTAAAAGAAACCAGTGCTGCACCATTTTTAGAGTGTGTTTGTGTGTGAGGTATGAGAGGTTTTTTTTTAAGGTACTAACCTTTTAAAACATATACTATATTTTTTAAAAACAAAAAATATATACTTTTAGTAAAAAATATAGTAGCTTTTAAAAAAAACCCAACCATATCTCCCATCTAAACACCCTTTTAATGTCTACGTTCTTCGCGCACACAGAGAAGGCCACCAGCCCTATCCAGCAACACTGAATCGTGATGGATCTTTGACTAGATGAAGTTAATTTTGGGATCTTGAAGGTGGATATTAAGGAATTATAAAACGCTAATTAATGAGAATAATGGCAACAGGTTTACTTGGAGATGGTGCTTGCTTGAATGGTTTTCTAAATCCAAAAAGATCCTGAACTCTTTTGTTAATTTCGTCAAGATGCATAGAAGTTCTTAAAGAGATTGGATTTTTTTATTATTTGTTTTATTGTGTTTGATTTGTAAGAGATGATGGGTGGGGATGGTGTTAGTTTACTATTGCTTTTTAAAAATTATTTTTAATATTAATATATTAAAATAATTTAAAAATAATAAAATATAATTTAAAATAAAAACATTAATTATTTTTTAAAATAAGAAATTATATTCTACATGAGAGAAGATGGAAGTCAAAGTAGATAAGTATTACAATAAATAGAAGGACGTACTATCACGATTATTGCCCCCTTAGTGTTCATGCACACATTCTAGGTTAGGGCGACCTTTCCATTATTGAAAGTTGAAATTTAAGCAATGGACGTCCCCAGATCGCTGCAATTATTGGGTTTTCATTAATATTGGATCTCCTACCTGCTTGAAAGGGCTCGTAATATTATATCCTACATGCTTGCATTATAAGAAATGACTATGGAATAAATTCATTGACTATTATATATTAAATAAATGAGAAATTCGCTCCTTCTTTTTTAGCAATCTTGTGATACTTATCTTGTAAAGTTTATTGAGTTATCACGAAAAGAATTTTAAAATTAATTTTTTATTTAATTATACAATAATAAAAGAAGACTTTATAAGAAAAATAATAAAAACTATAATGATTTGAACTTAAAAATATATATATATATATATGGCTAATCAAAAACCTTATTTTATATATCATAAACTTTATTTTTATTAAAAAAACATGTCTTTTTAAGAAGAATTGTTTTTTAAATAAAAATTTATTATAATCAACAATATATATAAGTCTGGTACAAAAGTAAATTATTTCGTTTTTTGTATAGTTCTAAATTGGAATTCCAGTTCTAAAATGATTTAGAACAAACTAGACAATTAGTTCGTGCTTTATTATAGGTTGAACTAATTTTTTTAAACATAAAAAAGTAAAATATGCAAATGTTATTAATGCATTTTAATTTACAAGTAATATTTTGATCATGGATTTAAAATTTGGTGTATATATTTAATAAAGCATAGATTAAAAACCGTGCATAAAAAATATTAAAAAGATATTGAATTCTAATCAAATACTAAGTTGTTAGATAATAAAAGAATCACGAACGCTTCCTAAAAATATTATAGTTTTATTTGAAAACAAACCTAAAGTTAAATGGTATTAATGGAATGATATAATAAAAACAATTGTATTTATTTTATTCTTTTTATATAAATACTAATAAAAACACCCACCAAACTTGGCCTAATTGGCCAACTGTTTTGCCCACTAGTTCAGTGTTTGAAAGCCTTTAGAGGTGGCCACAAAGTCAATCAAGACCTCAAGTAGCTTATAAATCCATTTTCTCACCATTTTTTCAACCCAAAAAAAAAATACACCCTCAAGATTTTATCAAACCCATTTAGAGTCTTAAATCATAATTTAATCAATGCAAAAATTAAAAATTAATTTGAATTAAAAAACATTTTCAAGCAACGATCAACTTTTTCAAAAAGAATAAAAGATAAAAAATATATCAATAAAACTCATCTTAACTCATCTTATCAACTCATCTTATCGAGTGAAATTTACTAACACAAAAAATAATTATTTTTGTGGTCAGAATATGACCAAGCTGTGAATTTTTTTATTAGTTTTTAATAATTTTCTCTCTTCCTAGTTTTTTAGAGTAAAAATTAAAAAAATAAAAAAATAAAATTTTATATTAAAATATCATGTAAAAAACTGAAAAAAATCAAATAATAACGACAAATATCCAAGAAGAAATCAAGAAAAAAAGCTTGAGTACCATTTTAGCGCTTTTTCTTAACAAGGCTTGGTAACT